GAGATTTCATGTTAATTCAATGCATTAATCATAAAACAGGCCATAAGAGTAAGATTATGCTGGCTGGGCTTTATTAGGAAAACAGATGCTAAATTTACGATTTGTCTATTCTTTATTTATACTTCTAAAGACATATGCGCACATTAGAAAAAAAGATGCAGCATATGACTACAAAGTTTTCGAAAAGCAATCAAAATAAAATACTAAAAAATGAAATACATTAAAATTAAATTACATATACAGCTTCCTTATAATGCCATTAACATGTTTTAATAATATAAATATTTTATAAAAGCTTTATCAAAGTAATTACTTAAATGTGTAGACTTCCCCTCATCTGTTGCACATCAAGGATATTTAAAAAAAATATTTATATGTGAGCTCTGCCATTATGTCTGTGTTTCAGCCCAAAATCCAAAACTGGCTCTATTATTAAATTCAGGATTTAAGCTGAGCACATAAAAGACACAAATGATTGAATATGGCAAATTAACATCCTCATCAATATATGTAATCTCAATCAAATCAAGCTTAAAAGAAGACACAAAAATAATAATTAAAACAGTATGGAGGTAGGGCAGCTAAACAAAAACAGTTCCCTGACTACAGGTGTTTTTCCAGTAGAGATCTTACGTAGCTCCTATGAAAACATAATAAAAGTAGGTAAATCTTCCGGGCCCCTGCTTCCCTTGCTAAACTAAATAAATAACAAAATGTGACTATGAAAGTTAAATTCCACTACCTGCAAAAATAAACAAAGTATCAAAATAACAACTGAACAAATTATGCAAAATAGACTAAAACACATTACGAATACTACAGAATTAAAAGTTAACACGCCAGCCAGCCAGAGAAAGAAATAGCTGCCATTGTACAAAAAGGGACTCCCAATGACGTCACCTGTGTCATCCAATCCGGGCAAGCCGTTCGCAAGCTCCACCTAATAAACTCAAACAAGCATGCAAACAAAGCACACAACCATAGCAAAAGCTAAATAAAAAAGTTGAAATAATATAAATAAAATATTGTTTCCAATGAGTACTTGTTCATGCTTTAATCAGCAGCAAGGTGGATTACTGTCATGGATTACTGTAATGTAATAAAAAATAAATAAATTAACACATTTTAATCTGTTTCAATAATTTTTTATTATTTTAATAATTTTTTTTCTTGTTTATTTTATACTTGTTTATGTAAAGCACTTTGAATTACCATTGTGAATGAAATGTACTATATAAATAAACTTGCCTTGTCTTAAAACAGACCTATAACAGTTTGTAAATAACAAACAACTTAACAAATGCATGAACAAACAAACAAATAAGCAAACATTATTCACAATATTGTAAATTATTTGTACTACAATAATACTTGAGATAAAAAGGACAATTGAAATTTTTGTTTTGTGTAACAATTAAAATTGCAATTTATGTACTAAATGGGAGCAATTTAGTCAGCTCTGAATTCTGTTCAATCCTTGCAATTCAGTGCTAACTTACAACACCAACAACACTGACTGCTACTAATACAGGGCAAACGTGTGTGTTTGTTGTTTACTCTGTTTTCCTTTGCTCAGCAAAGCTGTGATCTGTGTGAGCATGCATTTCAGCGAGAGCATCTTCTGCTAGCTTTAGGGGTGGTTTCTTCTGCTCTGATCTTACAGCTAAGTCTGAGTCAGGTAGCTCTTTACAAACACACACCAACACAAACACACACAAACATAAACACTATGCATACCCTGGAGTGGAGAAAAGTATAGAATAAAATAAATATAAATCCCTGACAAGGGAAGAAGATTCTCTGGAAAACAGCAGAAAACAAGGGAACTCCAGAAACCCCTGTGGCTGCATTGTAATTGATGGAGGTCCTGAGCCCAACAGGCAGGCAGCAGGTCCCAAAATAAAGCCCGCTGTCTTCTCAAACATCATGGTAAAACTGAGCTCCTACTGAGAAAAAAAAAAAAAAAAAAAAAAAACACCGGTCTGAAGCATTAGCGCCTGGGTTTTTCGGTTACACTTTATTTTGACGGTATGTTTGTTGAACTTAAGTTACACTGCATCTACATGCCAACTAATTTTCATTAGATTAAAAGTAGACTGTTAAGTTGGGGCTAGTGTAAGTTGACATGTACTTGCAAAGTTTTTTACACTCTAAGAAATAAAGGTACGCGACCTGCTGGGTTGGTACCTTTTCAACAGGTACACATTTGTACTTGAAGGGTCTATATTGGTACCTCAAAAGTATATAGCAGTACCTACAAATTTAAGAAAAACACTTTTATAATTTTTAGGTACTAATATGTACCCTTGAGGTAATAATATGTACCCTTGAGGTATTATTATGGACCTTTTAAGGTAAAAATTGTACCTTTTGTAAATTTACCACCCTAGTGATAGCTTGCGTACCTTTATTTCTGAGAGTGTATAGTCAGTTAAATGTCTGTTGAAGGAGCAGTATCAACAGATATTAAGCAGACAGTCTGCTAATACTCAAATGGACCATCAAAATAAAGTGTTACTGGTTTTTTTCTGGAAATGTCCATGAATTTTTCCTTGCATATGACCTAAACCTAGGATTGACTGCTCATCAGTTAGACCAGCATGAATCCAGCAATTAGCCCCTTTAACACGTACTGACTTTTTCAGAAAACAGCTGGTAAACTGAGTTAAACATTTAATGTTTAATCAGGCCCTTTTTGGAAAATACTGGAAAATTTGCCAGTTGTAACAGTAAATTGCCCAAATATGTATGAATAAATGAATAAATTAATAAATGTTGCCGCTATGAATGTGTGCAGGTTCAAATGCGCCTAGGTGAGATGTCTACTGCCGGCCAATTAGAACTATCTGATGCCGATGACACATTTACACTCATACAATGCTTCTATTTTCTTTTTTTAGTGTCAACTGTGGAAAAATAATCGCTACAATCCTTGCTATAAACTGGTGTGAGTTTGACTGCAAGCGTTGCTTTTAATTGTGTGACATGCTCATGTGTGTGAACAGAAGTGTGTTTTGCCAACCGGAGAAAGAATTGGTACAACCGCAGAAGTATTTCGTTCCAAAGAGGGTCTTCCTCTACGACATGCACTAACAAATCTCTTGAAATTCGAAAGTGTTCTGCCCACATCACTTTATCAAAATTGTTCAAAACACTTAACCAAATATCCTCAGAATTACCAGTGTATCTCATACTGTAGGCCTCTGTGAAGCAATATAACTTATACATTTATTTATTTTAGCTGCGGTTAGCAACTCTGCCTTTGGATGCAAGCAGCACTTTCTTCCCTATAGTTCAGTATTTTCCCAGGAGGCACGCAACATCATAAAAAGCTAATATTACATGTTATTAAGACGTCCAATAATTACATCAAATGGTGTTGATATTTGGTTGATTTTAAGTTGATAAGTGACCAGAATCCAACGTTGAGTCAAAATCTTCAACTTCATATTAATGTTAAATACTGACATTAATTCATCGGGCATGGCAACTAAAATCCAACATCTGATAGACGTCACAGTGGTAACGTCCACACCACATCAAGCTGTAACATCATTAGACGTTGATATTTGGTTGTTTTTAGGTTGGACGTTTGACATTGATGTCAGCCTGAGGTCGGGTTCTGACGTTAACCTAATTTTCAACTCCAAACAAAATGCAATGTGCCCACGATGTTGGCGTACAACGTCAATCTTGACATGGTGACGTCTTGTGCCTGCTGGGTTGGTTTGTCTTGAAAGGCTGAAAATCATCATAGACTTGTGTTTTTAATGCAAACCATGCCTTTCTTACTCTTGACAAAAGCAGATATATGAATGTCAAAGTTTGAAACAAAAATGAAATCTGTAAAAAGACTGACCCCCTACATGTTTACAAATACTAGCAAAGCCATTCAGAGGTCATTTATGGTTAATAATGTTAAAGAAATTACTGGTATTTTGGAATGTATGTGTGAACGGTTCTTTTCTGTAAAAAAACATCAAATAAAAATGTTGTTGCCTGTATGAACTGCACATTTTGTAATTTACCAGCAAAGTTATTCGGGTAATTTTATGGCAAAATCACTGGAATGACTGTGTGAAAGGGAGTATTGTCAGACTCAGACGTAAGGCTAATGGAAAACTGTCTGAATGTCTGATGCAAAAAAACACAAAAAATGGAAAAACATCAGAAGTCGTCCACATATTGGTTGAAATTGGATGCTCAACATGATCAACTAAACAATTTCCAAAAGGATGTGATGTTCACAGCATTGACTTTTAAAATCCATTTATCCATTGTTCCATCCATCTGTCCGTTCCTCCCTCCCTTCCTATCTATCCACTGTGAACACATCAAGTATTACTGAGAATATCCTGTATTTTACTATTTTAACCTACTATCGTCCAGTTTAAATAGTTTCCTGTATTTCCATAAATGGCAGCAAAACCTATGACATTGGCTGAACCAAGCACTCTGATTAGTTATTAAGCAACAAATCAGAGCAAGAGAACAAAAACTGAAGTGACGTGAACACCTAAACACTTTAAATAACAGAAAATGCCTGTCACAAAATAATGGACGGCAGACAGACGACAAGAATTAAACAAAACAAAGGCCCATATAACTATAAAACCCTGTTTTGGATAGGAATCACCACCAGAGTTCATCCAGTTTATTATAAGTATAATACAGTCTATTTAGGCAGTGTCAATTACTTAAACGCTATCAAGAAAGTCAATAAAAGCAACTGCGACTAATGTTATGTTTGCTGCCAACTTACTAACGCTGATGATTTCTTTAAACTGTCAACAAAGAGCTTTGTTTTCTCTTTCAAATTTAATTAACTTCATGTAAATTAGCAGGTTAAAAAGGGGGTGGGGGATTTGGAGAAACTATAAAGACAATATATTTGTACATGAAAAAAACAAAAAAAAACAAAAACAAACAGGAGCCATAAATGAAACTTAATATAAATCAACATAAACACATGAAAATATAGCTTAAAAACTGCCACTCACCCACAGTGAGCTGTCCTGTCAGCTGGCCAAGATTATTCCGTGCATTCACTGTCACATTGCGGTCTGACTGTAAGACCAGTGGACTGTCCTAAAACAAAGAACATACAGAAACCGATTATTTGATACAGTTACAATCGAAAAAAAAAACAAGAAAGAAGAAACAGCTGAGTAAAATGAATCAAACAATATTTCATCTCGTTAATAACATTACATTATTTTGTAGTTTCTGTTTACTTTACATTCAACCTAATGTAAAATCAAAATAACACATTCTAGATCCTGTGAAAAAAATGCCTTTCATGGACGTTCCGTTATACAGCTTTGAAATGTCACAGCCTGTGTTTCCAAAAAAAATAAAAAATAAAAATAAATAAATAAATAAACTTTTGTCAGAAACTTTAAAGTGACGTGGGGCGAAGCAGTGGCGCAGTAGGTAGTGCTGTTGCCTCACAGCAAGGTCGCTGGTTCGAGCCTCGGCTCAGTTGGCATTTCTGTGTGGAGTTTGCATGTTCTCCCTGCGTTCGCATGGGTTTCCTCCGGGTGCTCCGGTTTCCCCCCACAGTCCAAAGACATGCGGTACAGGTAAATTGGGTAGGCTACATTGTCCATATTATATGTGTGTGTGAATGTGAGTGTGGATGTTTCCCAGAGATGGGTTGCGGCTAGAAGGGCATCCACTGCATAAAAACTTGCTGGATAAGTTGGTTGCATGGTAAGCAGGTTCATTCCGCTGTGGCGACCCCGGATTAATAAAGGGCCTAAGCCGACAAGAAAATGAATGAATGAAAATGAATTAAAGTAACGTCGATATTACTTACATGTCATGTTACAAATGAACTTCAATTAAGTATAATTTTCCTATATTAAGTTAAGTGTAATGTGTTATAATTATATATATATTTGCTATAAATCATCCATATATGAATAAACTGGTATTATTAGCATTATTATTAGCAGCAGCAGCAGCAGCAGTAGTAGTAGTAGTAGTAGCAATTGCAAGTCAAATGCCCTCCATCAGCCCTTACCCATTATGGCCTCCCAATCATTCCAATCGATCGAATTGGCTGTATCACTGTCTCTCCACTCCACCAATGGCTGGTGTGTGCTGAGCACACTGGCACCATAGACCTGTGGCTGCCGTCGCATCATCCAAGTGGATGCTGCACACTATTGGTGGTTCGGAGAGACTGCCAGCCCCCTCATGATTATGAAGCGCTTTTGGTGTTTGGCCATACATATAAATACATATAACTTACTAGTAGTAGTATTGTCAAGAACATCAAAGCAATGTCATCATTATTTATGTCTAACATAAATTTAAATTAAAACACAGGCACATTCTACTAAAAACATCATACAATAACATTTCTGCAATGTTGTGAAAATATCTCATCAACATCTGTTGGTTTATGCACATTGAGTCATAAAAACCTAACGATTTTTAGTCTTGTTTTGACTTGAGATGAGATGACTGACATTTATTTACAGCTATATTTAGTACTGTTTACTTCTGATCGGATCAGCCAAACAGATGGTACTAGCAGGTGTAAACGCAGACTTGAGGAAATATGAAATGAAATATGCCAAAAGTCAAATGTTTATGAGTTCAGTGAGAAGTGCTGCTGTATATAATACTGGGCCTGTCAGAGAATGTGTGTTCATAAATGTGTTCAGGGTGCCAGGTGTGTGTATGTATGTGTGTGTGTTGATGCATTCACTGGGGTGCATGCTGTGGATCACTTGATTCAGTATCTTCTTGTTCCTACTGACCCAAACATGCTCTTCCACAACAGTGCTTGTGCTGTGGTCTAAATAAAACACCAGTGTGAACATATGGCATACTGTCCTACATATTGCACAGAACAGGGATGGGCAAAACACATCAACAAGTTAAAAAAATAAAAATAAAAATAAAATAACTCAATTTCAAGTGTTTTAAAATAAATGTCTTAAAGTAAAATACTGTATTTTTGAAGTTTAGAAATATTACTAAAGACTTTTAAAAAGAAGAATGCAATTTCTTGGCAAATGTTCCATCAATAGGCTTATTGGATCAATTTCTTCGTCATGAAACTGGCTTAGTAAAGTACACAATGTTTTGATAGCAACAACTTTTCTCTGCCACTTTGTTCACCTATAGGGGAAGTTGTTGTTGTTGTTAATATTATTATTATTTTATTATTATTATTATTATTATTATTATTATTATTATTATTATTATTATTATTATTATTATTATTATTATTATTATTATTATATGTTCCGTTTTAGCTTTTTCTGGAAATTTAATAAAAATGTATTTGCAGAATAAACTCTAAAATAATAAACATTACACCCATGTGACTAATCAGTTATTTGTTTGCCTTGTTTACTTTAAGTGTTCTAATGACTTGATTGAAATGCACCTATTCATATTTGGGATAATTTAATATTTACCAAAAACATAAAAAAAGACATTTACCTGCGTGTATAATGCCGAATAATTGTGCATTTATAAATTAGGCATGTGGTGAACATTTTTAGTCAACACAGTGACACATAAGCCACACAGCATAGCAAACACATTCTGAAAAGGAATTTGGAAACATTCTCGACATATGAAGTGACGTTGATGTTTTGGACAGGAAGAACACAAAGTTTTGTTATTGACCCATACTTCAGAAACAGTGTTGAACTGACCCTCACTGTTAAAAAAAAAGCCCAGTGTAAAATACAGTATATAATGACAAATATATAACTATTTACCAGCAATATTAGACATTTTCTTATAAAAATAAACAAACAAACAAACAAACAAACAAACAAACAAACAAACAAACAAACAAACAAACAAACAAACAAAAAAAACAAACAAACAAATAAATAAATAAATAAATAAATAAATAAATAAATAAATAAATAAATAAATAAATAAATAAATAAATAAATGAATTAATTAATTAATTAATTAAATTAATCTACAATATCTTATGCATATATTACAATATGCATGCCTGAGATGTTTAGACCATGTTCACTGTAAATATGAGCCTTATTCTTTTACAAAAAAAGAAAAAAAATATATATATATAAATAAATATTAAACACATTGCTATCTAGACATTCTGTTGCACATTTTAGATGATAAATCCACTAGAGGGTGCTGTCTACATTTCTAAAATAAGTTACTTAGTTTAAGTTTTATGTTGTATGTTTCTAATACAGATCTTTCTTGTGCACATCCGCGAGAAGAAGCCCTTACCTAAACAATTAATAGTGTTTTTAACCCTCTGAGGTTGCCAGATCACACCTGTGTGACAAACTTTTTTTTATTATCAGCGCAAAATACACTAAAGATCCATCTCAAATCGCATACTTATGCACTACTCTATACCATTTTGTTGTATAAACAGTGTAAGTAGTGCATTCACATTGAAAACTCACATAAAAAGAACAAGTGCACTTTAAATACCTGGATGATGCACTTATTAAAAGGAAGTGTGGAATGTTAGACACTTCATGCATTCAATGACTCAAGCTTTGCTCACGTAAAGGAAGGGATGGAGCTTTCAGACACCGATGTTGGATTACTTTATTTATTGTGGATTTTGAAAGTATGAACTCTCATACAAGAGCAATTATATTTATGGCAGGTATTATTTGGTAGTTTTGTCATTTATTTCATTAATCTGGAAAAATCAAACATCATCAGGGAAACGGTTTGAATTTCCGCTTGGTGAAAAAAAAACAGTGTTCCATTTGGGATGACACTACATATATATATACTATGCTGTTGAGTGTGTAAGTGCATAAGTACATAGTGTATAGTGTGCCATTTTGGGTGCAGCATAACCATTTGATTCTGTAAGGTGTTTACTTTTTTTGTACACTCACAACAACAACAAAAGTGTTTGCTTTTGGAAAAATAAGCAAAATACATCAAATGGTGAAGTCAGATTCATTGTAGTCACATTTTACCTTGATTTTACATTACTTTTATCTCTTTTGTGGAACCATGCTTTACCGTACTCGAACCTGAGTGCTATGTGTCACAATTACAACACAGGACAAATTGAGCTACCGAACAAGATAGATAAGTGAGGAAAATGTATTTGGTTATGAATCATCCCTTAATTTTCTTGTCTGCTTTATTAATCCGAGGTCGCCACAGCGGAATTAACGGCCAACTTATCCAGCACGTTTTTACGCAGTGGATGCCCTCCCAGCTGCAACCTATCTCTGTGAAACATCCACACACACATCCACACACACACTACGGACAATTTAGCCTGCCCAATCCACCAGTACCGCATGTCATAAAACCGAAGCGCCCGGAGGAAACCCACGTGAATGCAGGGAGAACATGCAAACACAGAAACGCCAACTAAGCCGAGGTTCAAACCAGCGACCCAGCAACATTCTTGCTGTGAGGCGACAGAACTACACAATGTGTCGCCGGTTACAAATCATACATACCATTTAATTGGTTTGTCCTATTTATTTTTGGTGTTTATAATTTCAAATAATTTCTTAGCTTATAAGTTATCCCTGAAACTTACAATAGCATGAAAAGGAACAAAACCTATTGCCTCATAGAGTTTATTTTACCTAGAAAGAGGAGTCAAGGTTATGTTAAAGTATGTTTTTTGCGGTTTTACATAATTGTAGGCTGAAGCATGTATTTTCTATGTATTTTTCTAGGTATTTTCACTTATGTCCTGTGTTGCAGTTCTTGGCAGTCTATGAAGACTCTTATGTTAATTGTACAACAACAGGACACTTGTAATGCTTTTTTTTTCTGGTTTCTAGAGTTGTTACAGCGAGGGAAGAAAAATAGTGTCTACTGCAATTGCTTTGTGTGTAAGCATGAAGTTTAAAGGTCATTCATTTATATGATTCCCTTCCTATTTCACTAGTATAGTGAAATACTGTGAAATAACACATGCTGCTAGAAAAGGCTTAACAAAAGCTTAACACAACATAGATTGTTGTGTTTTTCATTGTGTTTTCAGGGTTGGTAGATGCACCGGGGACTCGATTATAGCACTTAAACACAGAAAATGTCAGGTTTTTATGATATGCTTCCTTTAACCCCGGTCAGATCTATGG